GTAACCAACTCAAAGAAAGTCAAATAAACTCACGACTCGTATAAAGCAACTTTCACAACTTTAGATTCTACATAAAGCCAACTTGTCAAAGTTTCATAATTTTCGCACATAAAGCTGTCAACTTTCAGATTTTCCATAAAACCAAACCAAACGAATCTCCAATCGCCTAAACCGACCTACATAATTTCAGATTCTTCAAAACGAAACTAACAAAACATTCGATATTTTTCACAGCGAAACATATCAAAGTTCTCAATTTTAGCAACTCGAATTATGCACAATTTCAGATTTCCCTCCCCCCTTTTTCACCATTCATTTGTATATGTACAAGCAAACCACTACCAATTGTTCAAGGCACACATAAATCTTCCCTATTTAAACAAAAGATATTTGGAACAAGCATGAGATTCATGAATAGTTTCAAGCATTGCCTGAACAATTATCCAAGTTTGCTATCGTGAAGGACCAAAGCTTCTCGAGTCAGATAGCCAATAATTAATAGAATAAAGGAGGATTAAAGTACCAATTAATCATAAACCTGGGAAAACACTACTCAATTCTCATGAATTTACATATAGAACACAAAAATTCAAACTTTACATACCTGCCACACAATTCATATTGATTTCGTATCTAACACGCAAAACTCACATTTTACATACATGCCACCTTAATCCTGCATGTGTTAGATATGTAAAGGTACAGAAATTTGGGTGGTATACATGTAAATGACCCTTCGAAATATTAAATTGCAAACCTAGTAATGATGTTGGAGTATTCCAATTGATGAAAATAAGAAGCATACATGTGGATGGGCCATTGATTCTCCAAAAGAGAGTTACGAAAGACACAAAAAAATATATACTTTAAGATCAACAATGAAAGATACGTTTTGATTGGAACCTTTTCTAGAAAAATGGTTTATCCAGAGAAAGCTCATCTTAAGGGAACAAAGGCTTGCATATCCAAATACAGGAAGTTAAAAGAATGCCTCCATATTAAAAATAAGATAAAATAAAAGAAAGATTGATAGAGTAAAGAATATTGGAAGAGAGCATCCACTTCACATTGGTGAGAAGATCAAGCAAGCCAAGCAAGGATGTCGAGCAAACCAAATAAAAAGAGCATCGAGCAGTAAAGCAAGAATCTCGAACAACCAAACAAGAAGATGATACTTCGGTAGCCAAATAAGCAGTCACGCAACAATGTGCGTCATATACCGAGCAATCCACAAAAATATTAAAAAGATAAGGGAGGGAGACAAAATTACCTTGTTTAAGCTTTTCCAAAATAGAATACAACTCCAACAGGCCTCAAGAACACACAAGATGAGCAGAGCAGGGAAAATCCAACCAAAGAGAATAGAGGAAATTTTGGCAGCACATCCACCTCTTCTGAAAATTTCAGCAAACAGAACAACTCCCCCCAGTGGGGTTTATACAGCCAAGGAGAAGCCACAACTTACCTGGGGTGGTGAACCGAGCGAAAGGGGACAGGAATGGCAACAAAAGACACAGAGGCGTGGAGACAGTGCAACAGAGGGTTGGCGGCACATAAGACAGGAGATGCAGAGAGCTTTACTAGAGCACGGGAGAGAGGGGACCTCGAGGAAGCTTCGCAGGAAGACAAGGTGCGGGGAATTGGGTTCTGCCAAAAGAGAATTGCGCGCACGAGAGGGCTAGGGCTCGGACGAACCGTTCGCGGGGGAGAAAAGGAAACGGGCTAGGAAAAGGCGCAAGGGTTGGGTTAAGGCATATCATGGGTTTATATGGGAATTTCTCTCCCTTTTTTTAATGTTTAATATTAAATTTTTGCAACTAGCGCACTAATCGCCCGTGCACGGAATCACATCAAAATGGGTGTCCCTCCTAAATAATCTCGACGCTCCGGACACGCTAGCGTGGTCCGTTTCGTCATTCAGGGTTGTCTGGACGACTTCATCGACGGTCGGGTCAAAAACGCATCGAATTTAATTTTCGTTAAAATTTCGGCTCGCGATTGATCGTTTCAAAAAATTTATTTTTAAGCTTTCGACAAATAACGACGCAGAAGATGCAAATTGTGATAATCGAACATGTCGACTGTTTGAATTGCGAAGTTTGTGCGCTCGGAGGTATAAATTGTGCATAAGGCAATCCTAGGACTTAAGGGTCCTAAAGGGACTCCTTTTGGATTTCCTCATGTTGGTTTCAATCTCCTAAGTGCTAGAAGCCGAGACCACACATGCGAAACTCCAAAAGAGTAAAGAAGTAGTTTGGATTTCTAAAATGAGGTGGGTCTCATTTTTAGGGCTCTAAGATAGTCAAAGAGAGAATTCTAATGCTATACCCTAAACCTTAAGAAGAAAACTATACCTCACTAAAAATGAGGTTAACAATAATAAAAAAATATGGATAGGCGGGAAATGAAAACAAGAAGGGGGAATAATTCCCACCCAATAAAAATAGAGAGAGGGGGTAGGTTCAGCGCTTTATTGGACGAACCCTCTCCGGCTGAACTGGTTGGGGTCGGTTCAACCCCAAGCCCCATGTCAGTCTCTTGGGAATGGGGAAGCTTCGACCTCATTAGTCGAAACTTTTTTTTCTTCTCGTAGAAGTTAAGTCAGTCATGTTGTAAGCTCTCGGTAAGTTAATTTTGCAGGCAATGTCATTCCAAAAAACATTTCGATAGAATAGGTATTTGTCCTCTTTTGGCACAATCTGAGTCGAAGGTCCACAACGATGTAGGTTCTCCCGAGCAAAATTCCGAGCAATTAAATATATAATATGTTTCTCTCACTTCTCATACTCTGTTGGATATGTTTGATAAACAAGGTTGTTAGTGGGGTTCAACTTTGGAACGACATGTCTAGTAGGTTGGGCCACACTGACGTGTAATCACTCATGAGAGGCATTTTCTTATTCTCGGGAAGGATCTGTATCCCACGATAGAATATTCTTTCTCCCAACCCTGGGGTGATTCCCACCACTGCTGTTCATTCATCATGTCTGATCCTCTATCAGGAGGTACATCGTTGAACCGATTTTAATCCCAAAATGACCCATGACTGTCTCCCAAAAATAACTCAAAATTTCCTCATTTTTGAAAGGTTGGACCTCCTTCCGTAGGGGCAACTCAGGAGACAAACTATATATCTGAAATGCTTGAAATTTTTTAATCTGAAATTGAACTGTGTCTAGTATCGGCTTCTCAAGTGCTTGGTTCTTCTGGACATCCAAAGTAAGTCCTACTGATGCTCCTCTCGATACCTGCAAAATTCTAGCTTGAGGCACCATAATCTCATACTCTGTCGGAATGCCCATTACATCAGTTACTATCTTCTAGAATATCTACGGTTACCTCAGCTAAAATCACTATCTTGAGGTCAACTGGAATCGATGACATCTCTTTCATGATGGCAAAAAATTGAGAATCATCTCTGTAGTCTACATCTTCTTCTGGATCACCGTTTATCTCTTCAACTTGAAGCTAATCCTCCCGCTTTATTTCCTCACCATCTAAAGTGTCTACTGCATCACCAACCAATTTTTCAAGAATGCCCTGCTTCGTGAAACATATCAGTCCCCTAATTGTGCAGTATGATTCAATATGCCCAAATTCGTGACACTTGCAACACTTCCTGGTTGTGACAGATTTAGGGATGCAGATTGGTTCTACCTGTTTTCCACTCTGACTCGGTTTTTCATGGAAAGGGAAATATAATAACACAAACAAGCACGACTAAATGTATTCGAAAGTAGTGGTGATACGGATTCAAAGGGGACGACGGAAGGAGGGTGTAGGTGTTGGATGAGAAGGTGATGACTTGAGAGGGCTGCAGTTGGAAGGAACTGTTGTAGTAACATCTACAAAAATGGGTTTGGGGGGGGGGGACATCAGGAGTAGGGAGAGGTATTGTACAAAACTGTAGAGGAGCCGACTGGATGCAAAAAACTAGCATGGAGGGCTGGACAATAGGCTTGCTGTAAGAGGAGAGGGTGGTAGGACAATCGGGATGAAATGGAAATGGGCTTTCACGATAAGGAGGGCAAGTGGGAGAGAGGTTTAGCAATAGCTTGCAAAAGGTAGGGTTATGATAACCTATAGGAAGTTAGGTTGATCTGAGACTGCAGGTTATGCGACAGGAAGTTGTGGGGGCAGGTTGAGCAGCTGAAAGGGGGCGGCAGGGGAGAGCAGGGATGATGGGGACGCTAGTGGGGTGGCAACAAGCCAGGGAAGGGAAGTCAGGGAAGAAGATCACCACCTCGAGAGGGGTACAACTGGAGCACCACCCAATCTGTTGGATACAACCCTCAAAATGGAAAACAGGATGTCGACGACTATCCTTAACAGAAATATGAAATCAATCACACAAAACATAGCCCTAAAATAGAGAAATAACATATAAATAGAAGATGGATAGACGGAAAATGAAAATGGAGGGGGGGGGGGGGGAATAATTCCCGTCTAATGAAAATAGGGGGGGGGGGCCGGT